TTTCAGCGTGAGTCTGTCGCTAAAGTGCAGATCCTGCTCTGATGTAATCTGTGTGGATAAAACCGAAGAGGATTGCCCAGGTGTTGGAGTTACTAAATATGGTTGCAAATGTTGTAAAGTGTGTGCCCAGGTAAGAAATATATTGTGATGAAATAATATTTGTTAACTAGAGGATGAAGGAAGTAACACAAAAATATCTACACATTTTTATAGGGAATCGGCCAGGAATGCGGAGGATTATATAACATTGCTGGTATATGTGGAAGAAATCTCGTGTGCATAAGACCCCCTCTTCCGGAAGGATTCGACGAGGATATGGTAAATTATTCAGTAGGAACGTGTCAGGAGAAACCAATTGTTTAGCAGCAATACGCTGATCCAATTAATGCTAACGCAATCCTTTCCATAATCAGTAAATTGTTTGAATAAATAATTTAATTGAGTATTAATGAATAAATAAAGCTTGTATTGCAAATAAAATTGTTATGTGATGTAATTTTTAAGTTTTTCTAAATAAAAAAATAACCTTAATTTTTAGAGTAGAGATGTTGCATAAAAATTGTAACGAGTAAAATCTTCATTAAGTCCGACCTTACTTGAGATACAACACACGATCACTCTATCTCCTCACCCCTCGACCTTTAATCACCAAAATTTAATAGCATCAATACTCCGTAATACACGAACCTCCCTGCAAAATTTCAGAAATTTTCGAAGAAAGGAACAGGAATTGTTAAGCTTCAAAGTGGGTGAACAAATAAATAATTTTTATGTTCAATTGTTTTTATGTTCAATTGGATTTCAATCGCGTCCCCACATACACTAACATAGTAATATCCGTACGTACAGAAAAACCTTCAAATTTTTTGCATTTCCCGACGTTTCTAGTGCAAAAATGTAAAAATCTTCGGAAGTGGGGGAATTTTTTTTACCGATTGCCATACTTTCCCTCTGTTGTATATAACAGCCGAGAAAGTAGAATAAGTTTCTGCTCATACTTTTAGCGAAATAATTGTTTTTATCGTAGCAATAATTAGTTAAATTTAATCACCTTCTGGTTTATAAAATACGTGAAATTGTTACACGTAATGTAGATTTAATTAATACTAATAATAACTTTGAAAATGGTCCGATAAACCAAAACGATAAAAGCAGTTATAACAAGCTCTCGCGTATTACGAATTCGATTTCCGGGAAGTTTATTTAATTATTATTATCTTAAGAATCACTACAAGTTATTATACAGGAAATATTTAAGTAAAATTATTATCAGAATATAATTTAAAATATATATATATTAAACTATTTCTTTAATTATAATTTAAATAGTGTTCTTCGAATAATATGTAGATGTACATAGTAAAATCTGTACAAAACGGGACGTTAATTAAACGGAAACCTGCCTAAATGGAAAAAGTATTCGGTACCGTGAGAGTCAGGTACACAGGTTTTCACTGTATATAAAAAGTCAAAATATATTTGCATTTAGGTTAAGTAAAATAGATAAAGAATTCGATATAGTTGAATGTATCCGCATCAAATTTGGCATGAATATTCTTCGATATTATAGAAAAAGATATTGTGAGGATCTCCCAACTTAGCCTGCCAGAGCAATGTATTTGCAGTTTCATTATTGTAAATACTAGGGTCAAAAAATGTATATTTTAATTATTAAGTGCATTGTTTTTATCATCCTCTCTCAGCACAACCTCAACAATCCCCATCCCCCTCAATAGCCCGAGCAATGACGGCCACACGCACAGCTACTTTGGTATAAGATACTTTCAGGAATCAACTAAACCAACATTAAGCTGTTGGTTTAGTTGTTTGATTATAGAGTTTATAGTTTATCAGTAAACTTCGCATTGTATACAGTTAATATGCCATAAATCGGGATGTCGTCATCACTCGAGTGTGTCCCTTGGCATGTTTTATCCGTTAGTCGCAATTAGTATGTCCGTAATCGTTGTGTCATAATCTATTATTCAATTCATAGATGGCATGTTTTGATTTATGGCGTCTCTCAAATTGGTACAAAATATTTAGTACCTATGTCCGGTATTATAATGTCGGTCCAATTATTTATTGACATGGTCACAATGCCGGGTTGCAACTTTTAATCATATTTTTAATATGTTTAACTTAAAATATGTGCTCTCCACCTCAAATTAGCAGTGGCTTGTCCCTGTACAATATACTGTCTCCACTTTCATCTATCTAAAATTGAATTCAATGGTTGAATGAATGTAGGCGTTATGTTACATTGACTTGATGTTTTCCAGTGGAATAACGTGACATAGACTGAAACCACCTTTTTCCCTCAAAGAGCTCTCTTATTATGAAAAATAACGCCTTCATCTATATAAACAGTGTTAAAAATAATGCAAAACATTACTATCATACAGTGGCGTTTAATACATTTTACAAGTTGGATATTAATATTAGTTGTAGGGCTAAAAAGCTTGTAAAGCTTGCCCTGGATTCTATGGAAGAGAGCAGAAGTAATGCAAATACAGAATATATTAATCCAGCTAACTATTGATAGCAAGGGCCACGTGGAAATCCCTCTCCCACAATTTACGTAGTAGTTCTAAAGCAATGGTTCTCAACCTTATTTTACCCATGGACCTCTTTTCTTCTTAAATTTTTATGGACCCCCATAGAAATTGCACAGAAAAAAACCTTACGTTTTTTACTAATAAAAAAAGGAAAACGTTCCGAAATGTCAGTGTCAAGTGACATAAAGCTGATGGCACAAGATTCTCCTAACAAACCCCTGCTTTATAATCTCTCTTTAACCTTTGTCAATGAGATATATGTCCNCTGCGTGACTTTTCTCCAAGTACTCCAGTTTCCTCACACATCACATCCAAAAACTGTGTACGTTAGGATAACTGATGTCTAAATTGTCCCATTTTGAGTGTGTGTGAATGTTAGCCTCCTGTCTTGAAGTGCCGGATTAAGCATCTGCTACAACGACCCTTAAGTGGAATAAGAGGATTGGAAAATGAATGAATGAATACAAATTACTGTAAAATAAAAAATTCGTAAAGTATACGATAATCATACAAATTTACGACAATAAACGACTCAGTACGAAAGCGCTGAGAATTAAGCCACCCTTCTCTATTACCCAATACCATTATAACTGACGTCACTCGCTGATTCACCAAAAATCATCGTCGATTTGTATAACCTACACACGGGCCAACGATAATGAGTAAGAAAGTTTTTCATTGTTGGATTTTGACTGGTTATAAAATATATATATATATATAGGCCTATATCTGTTGTGTACTGTACAGTATTCGTTTCTACCTCTAATTTTCACAATATGGTATAAAATAAAAATACGTTGGGTGACAATTTACCAGTACAAAAACATTGCCCCGTCTCTCCCTTGCATCAAAAATTAGATAAATATTTTAATAAGAAATTTAATCCTTAAATTCTCGTAATGTAAATCGAAACATTTCTCACACTTTAAAGGTAATTTACAAGTAAGCTTTGAGTATCGATTGCTTACCCCATCCTACTAAATGGAAGTAAATCAAACGAACTTTACTTGGAAATACAACAGATACGTTGCTGTGGAGATGAACACCTTCGAGGAACATCCACACGAAGACAGCAGTTCTCGAATATTCCAAAAGAATATAGAAAATCTCGCAAACAATTGGCTGAAAAAGATTTTTCATATTAATTTATTGTATGATAGTTTCCATATAGACTCATTAACTAATTATTTATAATTTACATTCTTCATAAAAATGTATAAATTATTATGAATACTAAAAATATAAAAGAACATTTATACGTAGAAAATGAATTTACTATCAATGAAAATAATTCAAAATTGATTGTTATTTAATAAATGTTAAACTTTAACTATAAAATTATATACAGCAGTTTACTAAATTTATTATGATTTATCGTTTTAAAAGTAAATCATTATTTTAACGTAGATATAATGAAGTACACATTATAGCTGGAGGCTTGATACATTATCAATTAAATAACAGAATTGTTAATGTTAATAAATCAGTCCGTACTAAATAAGAATAGAATAGATCTTAAACGAAGATAATTTTTTAAAATATTGTAACAGAAAATAATATAAAATACGCATTACATTAAACATAAAGATCTTATCTGTTGAGAGCAATTTCTAGTTAATTTGTTGGGCTGGAATTTTAAAAATTTGTAAACCTATAAATTCCCATTATCTGTCTGTCTGTATTTCTTTAATTTCGAAAACGAAATTAGATAGATGACCGACACGATGCGATTGCTAAAGGAAAAATGTGATGTACAGGGGCAAGCCACTACTAATTTGAGATATTTTAAATTAAATAAATTAAAAATATGATTAAAAATTGCAGCACGGCATTGTGACCATGTAACAATAAACGATTGTTTTTTGATAGTTTTCCAAGGCTCAACTGAAGAAATCATCCTGATCATCATTGTTTGTAATTTGTACTTAGATCAGGAGGATCAAATTGCTCTTCACATAATTTATCCACACCTTCATGTATATGTGAATCTTCCACAAATTTATCAACGTTGAAATCTGGAAAACATAATATCGCATTTGTTTGCATCCTGATAAAATATATTTTATTCCAAATCAGTTGACGATGTGAAAATTTATCTTGAATTTTTATATTGAAGTCCTACTCCTCTCGAGATATGACATATGACACCTTTCTATCTTTCCACCCTGTCGACTTTTAACCACCGAAATTTAACATCATCAGTGTCCGTTATATACGAGTTACCATGCCAAATTTCTTTCTTCATCATTACCCCATTTTGAGATATTAAACGAAATAGGAGTTGTCACAAACGCGCAAACATACCATTGAATTTGTTCCCTTTTTTTGGTTTCGGTTTTGAAACCTTGGAAAATTGCAAAAAAATTTCACACTATTCGTCATTGAAATACAAATTTCGTAATAGATTAATGATTAAGATTATACTTTATCTCATATATTACGTATACGCGACACCACGTGACTGGTTTTGATAATTGGATTGTTTCTTACGTGCCAATCGTAAGTTTCCTTATTAAGATTTTCCTCTATAGAATGAATTTAGGATCGATTATGCCTTAATATAATACAATTTACGGGCCCCTTCAAGAGATGAGACCCCATTTTAAAGCTGTTTTATTTTTTGTTGCCGGTATACCAGAGTTTCTAAATGTAAAATAGCATGAATTTTATCTTGATCTCTGCCTTATAACGATGGCTTATCCGGCAATCGTTATAAGGGGGCGTTGAGAATAGGTTTGCAGAGTGTTCGGTATTTTTATTTTACTAATAGAATATCGCATTAATTAATACAGTGAAAACTCGATAAAACGCCACTGTTGTTCGCCTACAAAATAAGCAATAAATCGAATGTGGCATTAAACCGAAATAATTTGTAATTTATGTAATAGCGAGGTCAACACACAAGTTCTAATTTTAGTTTATTCACAGATATGGAAGACTTTTCTAATTAATATTTATAGCGAAAATCCTTGTCGCTTTATCGGGGTGGCATTAATTAAAAGTTTAATTAATATCGAGGTTTGACTATAAATAATAATTAAGAACTTATAGAGGCTTCTGTCTACCGTTTTTAAATGTTATACAACGGCTCCATAAATAATTTTTAATTGATTAATTATAAAAATATTATTCAGATATTTTGTAACATTTGATGTATGTTTATAATTATAAATTAAATTATATAAATTCCAGTAACGAGTTACTTAACTTTTCCGGCAAAATTTGGTGGCGCCATTTGTTATGATATTTTATTTAAGAAACTTTTTATATTTTTACCTATTATAAAATGGCAAAAAGTTTAATTTTGAGGTTAGGAATGAGTTTTTTTTTAATACTGTAAATGCTGATAACGAGTAAAATCGTCATTAAGTCCGACCTTACTGGAGATACACACGACCTACCATCTCGACCTTTAACTTCCAAAATTTAATATCATTAATCCCACTAATACACGAACTTCCCTGCAAAATTTCAGAAAATTTCGAAAAAAGCACCGGGGGGGGGTTATAAAGTTTCAAGCAGGGTAAACAAAATCGTGCCCCAAACGCATACTAACATCAATACATAAAAACCCAGAAATTTTTGCATTTCTCGACGTTTCAAGATGTCCCCAGTCCAAAAATGTAAAACTCTTGTGGGGTCATTTTTTGATCGATCGCCATATTTTCCGTCTTTTACACATAACAGAGTTGAGAAAGTATTATATAATAATAAACTAATTGTCTGGGGAAGCCCAGGCTATTGGGATAACGTTTATACTTTTTTGTCCGAATTTTTAAAAATAATTTCCACGTTATATTTTGGTGTCAAAACGCTCAGTAGAATGCTGGCGTGTGCATAAATCACATTTTGGAAAATATAATTAACTCGGAGGAAAGATATATTCAAAAAACGAAAGTGTCGACTTTCGCCCATTTAACGCTTAATAACAAAAAAGTATTTCGACAATTTTGGATGCTGTTTCTAGAATATAAAGCCACACAATTGCTTTGTATTTTTGCAGAGTTTGGTGAATTTCGGTTGAACTACGGAAAAGTTATCTGAGTTCAAAGAAAGAGGAAACAGATTTACATCCCTCATCCCCACTAGATGGGGCTACGTTACTTAGCTCTTCGATTGCCTCTGCCGTAACTACATGCCCGGGCCAGTACCGATTTAAAGGAAATGTCATTTAAATTTTCAAGTTTTTCTGTGAGGTTAGCCGTTTGGGTGGAAATAATCACGACAATTGAGTGGTCAACACTGTCGTGTGGGAGTAGAAAGACTTACTGAGTCAGGTTTACCATTTAAAACCGTTTAATAATTATATAAATTTTCTTACAACTACAGTATTCTTATAAGGAGGCGTAATACCTATCCCAAGATGGGCAACAAGTCCGTTCAAAAGTCCAAATTTTACGACGATCGTTTCTTTTCTTCCGGCGAAGGTGATGTGGAGAGAGACGGCCCCGGTGCGCACAGCACAACTTGCAGAAATGACCTCCGATGACTAAGTGTACCTGGGCGAATCTTGACGGGACGGGATAGCGACGACAAATCCCGGTACGTCGATACCCTTTCGTTGTTGAAGGACAGGAACAAATAATCCAAGAGAGGAGGAATATGAACAACGAACGTGCGGTTTTATAAGTTTTTTCCTTAAAGTCGCCTTTTCATTGATCTCCAATCGTCACCTGGTAACAATTAGAAACCGATCGGAGGGCGCGGGAGAGGTCGGTTTCGCGACTAAGTACAACTCCTCTCCAGCCATGTTTCCCTCGACTTTAGTCTTTTCTATTGTTTAAATAATTTACAAAAAAAAACTTTCATTGTTTAATCGAGATCTTTAATTTCTTCCTTTCGAGTTGAAAAAGGAGATTTGTAATTTCTCGATTGATAGTCCACATTCGGACCTCTGCGTTGACTTCCGTCCGGGACCTCACATTTCAACAAATCATTTTTCGCTAAAGATTATTTTTGTCAGCAATATCGAATTTACAGTGCACTTCAATTACGTAACATACAGTATTATGTGTACTGACTTTGTTCACTTCATTTGTGTATACTATATTAAATTATTCCAATTTAAATAAGTCTTTAAATGTAATTTTCTATCTAACACGTGAACAAATACGTGAACCTCAATATTTTGATGGAAAGAATTAAAAGACAGCCAATTTTACTACAAAAACAGTACGAATATTTAATTCTCCCGAAATTCGCGTTTAATTATTTGTAGTGTAAAAAAATTGTTTGACATTTATACAGTTTACAAATGCGTGATATACTGTAAATTCAAGTCTGGTTTGTATTTTAAGTTAAATAATTTATCTAAGCTAAATTTAGGTTTGACTAACGGGTAAGACAGGTTGTCATCCGTGGAAAATTGGCCCCTATTGAGGTGTTACGTGAAGAAAATCCAAGAAACTCCACATGGCTCGTCTGCTGGTCATACGACCATGGTTAATTGGATTTATAAGGCACGTTACGGAAATCCTTTGAGGATTAACCGTGATTTTTTTCTATCTATCCACCTTTAAATAAAAATAATTCTTTATACGTTGGGAAATATTTTAATAAGTTTTGTAAATTAGTATGTTCGATCCAGCCAGTTATATCCGATTTTTTTTCGTCTGTTAAGTACATCTAGTTTTTTTACTATTAAATATAGAAATGTGTGACAAGTTCACTCATTCCCTTCTCTCATTTCGTGTTAATTCTTTTTATATCGGCGAATCACCTAAGCAGCACTTTCATTTATTTTACTTGATTTCATTTGAAATGATCGCTTGATTGGTAATTAGGTGTTTTGTAGGAATATGAGTGAGATAATTGGGTAATGCTGGAATGTTATGCTAGATTTTATCGTAGTAAATTGGTAAGAAGAGAGCTCCACCCAATTTAGAGAGATTTTCAGGAACGAGAAACACTCGTACGTCGGGTCATATTAGCCGGGTCACATTTAAGTTATACAAATGGAAAAGAAATCTCTCAAATATAAATTCGAATAAGAAAAAATATCAATAATTTATTATTTAATTAAGTAATAAAGCTTTCAACTTCTATTAATCATTAAATAATAAATTTGGAAAAGATGGATGTACTGTACTGATTCTAGTAATTTAGTACTTAACCTGTATGAAAATATTTTATGGGGTAAATCACCCGGATACATTTAATAAACAGTAAATTGTCAACCGTACGCTCCACTAGACGCAGACAATGACCCTATAGAAGTTTAGTTTGAAAAACCCGTTTGACATTCGGAATGTCGAATTGACCTATGTATATGTGACGAAATATTCTTTCAGACAGAAAGAACACCTGCAAGAAAACGAGAATATAAACTTTCTCCTCGTTCATAGTCCATACAGAGCCTGGTATCACGCCCTTCAGTTGCAAAATGGATCCTCGATTAGTTACCGTGTTGATAGTCACGTCTTGTTTTCTCAGGTAAGAAGCCGTTATTTCATAAACTTTTTTACATTTTCGAGTTATTGTCGATTGAGAAATTTATTTGCTTTTAAAGTGTTGGGATGTCGCTGAAGTGCAGATCCTGCTCTGAAGTAGATTGCGTGGATAAAACAGAGGAAGATTGTCCTGGAGTTGGAGTTACCAAGTATGGTTGTGCATGCTGTAATATATGCGCAAAGGTAGGAAAAATTTGATTATCTGCTTACGGTTAATTAAAGAATCACTAAAACTGTTTATATCTCGTAGAAAATCGGGGATGTCTGCGGTGGCCCGTTTGATATTTTTGGTATATGTGGAAGAAACTTGGAATGCTTAAAAGACTCTTCTCCTGAAGGAACTAATAGTGATATAGATAGAGCCAATTCAAAAGGAATCTGTCAGAAAATTGGAGCTTAAAATCAGTGCAATCTTAAAAGTAATATTTGCCAGTAAAGTTTATGTAAATTTAATTGAATTACATTAATGTTTTATTGGATAAATAAAATTTTTATCGCATTTCAATTTCATTTTTCCTCTTTATTTTATGAGTAAAACAACGCTTTAGTTTCATACTTGAGGAAATAAGAAATACCAACAATTACCTTGATATTAAAAAATACATTTCGCTATAAACACTATAAAAATTTAAAAGATTTTTATGAAATTTAGTTTTAAAATTTTCTTCTATAACTTTGAAATGTAATCATAATGTAAACTGCTTACTTCAAATGAGTTATATTGGTTTACAAATTCCCAAATATTAATATTTAACAAAAAACACCAGCCGATTTAATGATCCTAGCATTGCGTTTTTGTAAACATCACACCTTTAATGCGTCAAAACAATTATCTGCCTTACATAATGTATGGGCAGCTTTAATATAAAATTAATTATTGTATGTATAAGTATAAAATTTATAAAGTAAAAATATCCAGCAAGGAGTTTCTCAACTTTCCTGGCAACATTTAAAATTTTGATCGCAACATATGTTATAAAAAGTTGTTTAAATTAATAAAACATAATATTTTAACTATTATAAAATGTCAAAACGCTTAATTTTTAGGGTAGGGATGGGTTTTATAAAATATTGTAAATGCTAATAACGAGTAAAATCGTCATTAAGTCCGACCCTACTAGATACACACGATTCCCTTTATCTCCCCACCCTCTCGACCTTTAAACACCAAAATTTAATAGCATCAATCCACCAAATACACAAACCTCTCTGCAAAATTTCAAAAAGTTTCGACAAAAAGTACGGGAGTTATTAAGCTTCAAAGTGAATAAACAAAACATCATACATGATAACATAGCAACCCAGGATATCTTCAATTAGAATTGAATTATGACTATTTAAAAAATTATAAAATTTTCGAGTCTATCTTTTATCCTTTTCAAAAATTTTATAATTTTTGTAAATAGTCATAATTCAATTCTAAGTGAGTAAACAAAATCGTGCCACCCACACACTAACTTCCATATATACAGGGGAAAAAACCACAAATTTTTAATTTTTCAACAAATATTTCGTATTTCGCTAAAGATTATTTTATCAGCGATATCAAATGTACACTTCAATTAAGTGACATACGATATCGTGTGTACTTTGTTCACTTCATTTGTAAACTGTATTAAATTATTCCAATTTAAATAAGTTTTTAAATATATTTTTTTAATACATGAATAGATATGTGAACTAGGGATTGCAATCCAGCAGTGTTTTCAATCCAGCTGGATTTTTGCTGGATCAATATCATTCCAGCTGGATCCAGCGCAGATGTATTTTTGGTGAAATAAAGTGTTATCTATCTATCTATCCAGTAATTTATGGTTTTTTTTTAAAGAAATAAAACATTTTTTTAAATATTTAAGAAACTTTTATTATTTAGACTGGTCACTATACAGTAAATCAGTAAAACTTCTTACACATTTAGGTAGTAAACTTAATTTTGGTTCGGTTTAACACTTGAGATAGAGATAATTAACTTTAAATGTTTGATTAGATTATAATTATAATGTAATCTTTAAGTTAAATAATAGTAGAGGTAATTCTACTAATTAATTTATATTAATATATTATATTATAATAATGTAAAGACGGATAATCAGTGGCTAAGTGGCTATCAGTCTTACCAGTTTTCTTATATAGGCTCTACATATCAGTCTGTAGTTATTTATAAGTAATTTAATTATTAGTGTTAGTAAAGTAGTGAGTAATTAATTAGTAGTAGTCTAGTAGTTAGTTATTATTATCACAATAATGATATACATTCATATCATCATATATCTAAGATACTGATATTCATTAATTTAATTAACTATTTAACTAACTAGGTAGTTTTCAGTTTCTCACTAATTTTAACAATAAAATTGCCTAGCCTAGCCCACTAACCACTTATAGAATAAAAGTTTAAAACTCTTACTTAATAGAATTAGAATATAAGTTATAAAATATTAGTCTTGTCTTGAGTAAAGTATTTTGAAGGATTAAATAAAATTAAATCAATCACTTCTGCTATTTTTTGTTTTTTACTTTTCTGGAAGTTGGGTCTCAAGAAACAAATGGTATTGATGGTGTTGTCTCCCAACCTACTTCTTAATGAACTGCATATATATCCCGCTGCGGAGAAGGCTCTTTCCGCCTCTATGCTAGTTGGTTTCAGGGTCATCAAATAATCATAAATTACAGATAAGTTTTTACCTTTGACTCTCTCACGTTCATAAACAGCCATTTCCTTTTTTTAATAACTTATCATAATCCTTCTCAGTACTAGTTTCTTTTCGTTTCATGAAGTTTTCTTTCTCACGCTCTAGTTGGATCTCCGATACTTATTCCAATGTGAAATTCAGGAATGAATGCGGGTTATCTGGATCATCGTTTTCCGTTTCCATAATATCCTCAGCCATTGCTGCTGGTTCAAGTACATATGTATTTACTCGATTCAGCATATTTTTCATCTCTTGGTGCATTACATTTTTTTCGGTATTGTGAAAGAATAATCGTGCTTTCTAACTTTTTGGTTATAGTTTTTCGGGTTCTGTGTGTAAATCAGCATCCCTGTGACCTCGATAAGACACCGTTCTCTGATTCTTTTGCGTCCTGGCTTGTGTCCTGGCTTTTTAGTTTGTCTAAGATAAATTTCAGGGTTGTATCAGCTGTTATCAAACTCGACTCTCTTCTACAGAGAGCTTTTACGGCCAGTTTATAGGTTAGGTTTCGTGGACAAGCCGCGAGGCTGCAGCTCTCCATAGGCTTAAACTGAGATCGATCCGTCACATGATTCATTGACGTCACAACCGACCGTAAATTAGAATTATGCACCAGGACTAGGAGACGAGTTACTTATTTTATTTAGCGCGAACATACTTTATTTAGCGAGAGTGGAAAGTCAACTGGCAATTAGATCAGCAGAGGTAAAAGGGCAGGCAGTGCGGTTAGAGAGTGGGTGTAGCATGTGCCACACTGAACGGCAACGTCGCCCTCGCCGCCGAGCGATAGCACACGTAGAAACGCGGCAACACCGGCAACGTAGACTTTTGTGCCATTATTTAAAAAGTTAATTGAGTATTTGCGGATCCGCAGCGCTGGATCCAGCAGGCCGAAGAATACGCTGGATCCAGCTGGATTGCTGGATAAGGGATCCAGCAATCGCAATCCCAAATGTGAACCTCAATAATTTGATGGGAAGAATTAATTAAAGACATCTTAATTTTTTGTAGTAAAATTGGAATATTTAATTCTCCCGAAATTCGAGTTTAAATCTTGGGGAGCCATTTTTTTTTATCGATGGCCATACTTTTCCTCTGTCATATATAACAGCCAGGAAAGTAATAAAAATAAGAGGTAAAAAATCCATGGCGAAGCTCATCACATGCGCTTTACTATGTAAGTAACAGCTGAGAGAACCATCAAAATAGAATATCTCGGCTCCCCCAAGTTGGCTTCTACTCTGCCATCTTGGAGGACCCGAGTTCGTTCCGGTTCGAAAGCACAGTATTTTTAATAACAAGCGATTTATTTTTCGGATATGTGGAGCGTTCAGTCAATACTGTATTCACAAAACTGGTTTACTAAAAAGAACTTTTATTGTATCTTTTTAGTGTCGAAAAGTACACGATCCTTGCACTGGCCAGGTACGGAGATGATCCAAGAACAAGAACAAAGCAATCGCCATCGATTACTTTGTTCTTGTGTTTTGTTCGTCGCATCAAAGCATGGACATTGTCACTAATACCTATGTATATCGAAAACGAATTCATGGAGTCGTATTTTTACTTTCCTGGCTCTGTTATAGTATTTATGATTATATTTTTCCTGTTTCTGATAACAGAGGAAAAGTATGGCGATTGGTCAAAAAAATACCCTCCAAATTTTTACATTTTTGGATTTAGGGAGCCTTTAAATGTCAAGAAATGCAAAAACATTCAATGTGGGGGGCACGATTTTTTCACCCTCTTTGAAACTTAATAACTCCCGTGCTTTGTTGAAAATTTCTGAAATTTTGCAGTTAAGTGTGTGTATTAGATTCATGCTATTAAATTTTGATGGTTTAAGGTCGACGGGTGTGTAGTATCTCGAGTAGGGTCGGACTTAATGACGATTTTACTAGTTATTAGCATTTACAATTTTTTTATAAAACCCTACACTCATCCCTACACTCTAAGCTTTTTGCCATTTATAATAATTAAAAATATAAATAGCTTTTTTTAATGAAATATTGCCACCAGAATTTTTCCGGAAAGTTAAGCAATTCGTTGCTGATTTTTTACATTTAAATGGATCCGCATTACATTTCCGGATTGTTCGTCTCAATTGATGGAAAATGGCAAAGTTTTATCAAAATTTATCCTTTAAATTTTGAGAACAAACTCGATTCTATAAGTCCGTACAAGACGTGCTATCGACCGTGAAACGACCCTATACCTTACTGTTATTTACTGCTCTGCCCATCACTACATTACATAAATAAAAATAAGTGAAAGCATAATTATTCAATGTATTGTACAAATTAAACATATTTATAATTGTACAAATATGAATTTTTAGACGTTTTGTATGACTTCAAAATGTTGAGTTGTTTGGGTTTTAAATTCAATTCTGGATGTGAAGTTTGCGGATAAAGAAGAAAGTGTCACGACAATCGAGCGGTCAGCACTGTCGCGTAGGAGTAGAAAAACTTATTGAGACAGGTCCTCCATCGCAAACAGTTTATCTATATATATAAAAATGAATGTATGTATGTCTGTCCTTCATGCATTACCACACCGTTTATCCGATTGCCATGAAACTTTGGAAAGTTTTTTAATACACTCCCGCGAAGGTTTCTGGCATAGTACATTTATCTTACGATAGATGGCGCGCGTTATACGAGAATTTTACTGTGTGTTCGATCGATTTCAAATTGTGAAGACCATTTCCCCCCTCCAAAAAATATCTCTATATATGCATTTGTGAACTGTTATTTACGATATTTGTAATAATTTTTGTTTAATCACTTTATTTTAACTATTTTTTGCTAAT